GCCACCAGATCCAACCAAGCTCAGTAAGCGCTTTGTAAATGTCCGTCTGCACTGTCAGTTGCTGATTTATCTATCCATTCATTCATCTTGAGACAGTGTCTCACTTGGTAACCTGCACTGGCCTTGAACTTAGAGCAGTTTTTCTGCCTCTGCTTCCACAGTACTGGAATTAATGTGTGGACTACCCCCAAAGACTGAAATGCTGATTTTCATTTGAGTTAGGTTGATTTCACATCAGAGTCCTGCATTACTTCCACGTGCATCTGTACACGGCAGTGGTGACATTGAATGCTGAGCCTTAGCCCAGTTACCTGCCTCTCTGGCCCTGGTAGGGCAGGTACCTGGCTCGTTTAATGTAGCAGTTGGACCTCTGTGTGGATCTGATCTGATTGTGGTGGTCTTGAATTCCTAACACAACTCTGCTTCTCACCTTCCATCTACAGAAGAACTGCAGACACCCTGTGTTTTTTGCAACATTTTATAAACACCCTCTAAGTAAATGAGCACCACTGAGGCAGAATTTAGCCCCTATTGCACCCCTAATGTACTGATTTTTCTGACTTGACTTTGAACATAATGATTTTCTAGTTTGGATTCAGAAGCCAGCCTTATGGTAGAAGAAGAATCACCTCTACTTTCAAGATTATCTTATTTTATTTTATGGTATATGTGAGTACTTGCTTGTATGTACCCTCACTAGTGTGTGCCTGGTGCCCCAGGAGACCAGAAGAGGGTATTAGATAGTTGTGAGTCACCTCATGAAGGTGTCAGGAACCAAAACTAGGTCCTCTCAGGAACAGCCAGAGCCAGTGCCCCTGACCCCAGAGCTGTGTCTCTAGCCCGTCGTGTAAAATTAACGTCACTACATCTGTTAGCTATGGCGTGACAGTGACATGGTAGACTGCCTTCTGAGTGGTTGTTCCCTGTTGCCGTGGCTACCCCCTCCCGCCCCCCCCCTCCCCAGATGCTGTAGCTGCAGAAACTCAGGAAGGTTGGGAGATCGTATAGATTTCACTGAGCTCACTTCAAATGCTGAAGAGCCTATTAAAAAACAGGACTAAACTGGTCATGTTTGCTCAGTAGGCTCACACTTTATGCACTGACCTCAACTTATTTTTAGAGATAATGTGTTTTGTTTTGTTTTGTTTTGTTTTGTTTTGAGGCAGGGTTTTTCTGTGTGACAGCCCTGGCTGTCCTGGAACTCACTTTGTAGAGCATACTGGCCTTGAACTCACAGAGAGATGCCTGCCTCTTTCTTCCCAGTGCTGGAATTAAAGGCATGGGCCACCATGCGGAGCTGTTTTTCCTTTTTGTTGTTTTAAAGAAATGTTATATTACATAAATAAAAGCTTTGTCTTGTTAACATTGAAAGCTAAAGATGTTTAATGTGAGTAGATAAGGTTGTATCCATTTTTAAAACTAAAAATATCTGTACTTAGATTTAGGAGTAGTAACACTAGACTCTGAATACAGTAGTACAGTGGTGCATGTCCTTCTGTGTCGTTACAAAGTGTTTCTTCAAAGGCAGCCTCTGGACAGGGGAGGGGGGTGGAGGGGCGACACATGAGTACTGCACAGCCGCTCACAGGGATGGCTGCAGTGTGGGGACAGTTAGGCCTCGGGAGGGTTTCAGAAGGCCTGAGTGGGGGCTGCCTGTGGGCACACTTTACACCCCACAGCTCCCCTGAAGGAGGCTGAAGACAGGAAGCTGTCAGTGTGCCTGTATTTCAGTTAGCACTTCAATGCTTCAACTTTCATCAGCTTTTGAGCGGCAAATTTTTTTTAAGGTTTAAACTATTCTCAGTGTTCCTGCTGTGGTAGCTGGAGGTTCCCATGAGCCATTTCAGCCAGGCAAAGCTCTGTCTGCTTCAGGTCCCCCCTGCAGATGGCCCCTCTCCCTCAGCCAGACTCCACCATCTCTAGCTAGCACAGGCTTAGCGGAGCACACCGCAGCCTGGTGTCTTTCATCCCCTCTGAGGCTTCTCTAGCTGTTCATTGCATGCCTTGTGTTTGTCGCTAAATAAACCTGACCTGTGGTTAGACTCCCTCTGTGCCAGGTCCTGTGCCTGGGTGAGAAGACATGCTTCAAAGACACTGGATTCCAGCGGTGACAGGTGTGAAAAGTGATCCTGTGACACTGAGGCTGTGTCTGCTCGGGCCCGTTGTTCATTTGCTTGGTTGTCTGAGGCAGATTCTCACTGTTGGAAGGTTGGCCTCGGAAGCCTCTTGCCTCAGCCAGGGCTGCAGGCTGGAGCACCGTGCCCAGCTAAGATACGCTATACTTGTGTATTTGTAGGTCATGGGATACTAGCACTTGACTTCAAAATGTAATCTTAAATGTGACTTCAGGCTGGTTTTTTGTTTGTTTGTTTGTTTGTTTGTTTTTGTTGTTGTTGTCTTGAGAGGTGGGGAAAGTGCCAAGGATGTCTCTGGTCCTTGCTCGGCAAGCATCACCACTGAGCTACAACCATAGACCTGCCAAACTCTTCTTCCTGGTTTCTTCCCCTTTCCCTTTTATTCTTTATCTTTAGGGTTTTTTTGTTGTTGTTTTGTTTTGTTGGTTTTTTTTTTTTGTTTGTTGGTTGGTGTTTTTGTTTTTTTTTTTATCCCCCTATGAAGAAGTCTCCAGCTCACAGAAATCCTCCTGTTTCAGCCTCCCAGGTGCTGGGGACAGATCGAAGCTGCTATGCTGGGTTCTGGCTCTACCTGGATTTACTTATTTACTTACTTATCTACGTGGTTAGTTAGTTTGGTGTTTTGTAACAGGGTCTCAGGTATTCCAGGCTGTCCTTGAACTTGTTATGTAGCTGAGATTAGCTTTGAACTCTTGATCTACCTCCCAAGTGCCTGGCTGTGCTTTACCTACATTTGGGCTTCCAAAAGGCTATCTTATTCGGAATTCCACATCTTTTTTCTGCCCCTTCACTTGAGTCCCATTCGATCACCCAGCTCTGCATGCCCTTCCAGTTTAACTCAGGAGTTCACACTCCACACGCCTGCTCTGCACTCACACTGTCACCCCGCTCTGCTGCAGCTGAGGTCCAGACCCCTCTGCTTGTATGTTCTCACCAGGGACCCATGGGCTGTTTTCTGCCAGCCTGGCCACTATTCCAGTTACACCCCGAGCAATACGATCCCTTATCCATCCCTCCCTACACCTGCAGCCAAGCCTTGGACTGAAACTATGGCCTTGCCTCCCAGGCTACCTTCTGTCTGGGTGGCGATCTGGACTCTTCCCCAAACCCTACCCCAGAGGCTTCCTGGGGACAGGGCTAAGGTGTGTCCCAGCTGGACTGGGGACAGATGCTGTCACCCTCAGCCAGGCTAGTTGATGAGAAATGACGGGGAAGTAGTTCTGGTTTTCCAAGCGTGAAGTGGGCGTATGGAAGGGAACAGAGCAGGATGACCAGTGAGGTCCGAGACTAGCATCAGTTCCTGCAGGATCCTGCAGTGGGCCTCACTGCTCCCGCTCTCAGTGAGTGATCGTTTGTAGACAGCAAGGATGCGTCTGATGCAATGATTCTTCGCTGATCCCCATGTGCAGTGTGCACATACATGTCTGTGTGTGCATGTGTGTGTTACATACAGTGGTGGGCCCATGTGCACCCTGGGTGGCAGTATGAAATACAATGTTGTTGGGGTTGGGTGATGGCACAGAAGAGTGGCACACCCCAGACATCTGAATCCAGAAGATGGTGTGTGTGTGTGTGTGTGTGTGTGTGTGTGTGTGTGTGTGTGTGTGTGTGGTTTTAGGGGGATGAGGTGGCACTCTGAGAGCCAGCCCCAGCTCCAGGTGAGGCCAGTCGCATCCATAGGGTAACTTTATTTGTACCTCTTTCTGATTCACGTTGTGGTTCCTAGAGTAAACTATTCATTGCAGAACCGCCTGTTTGGTACATTTGAGTCACACCAAATCTGAGCCTGGGCCTGTTGTCCACAGAAATGTTGTCTCGGGTTTGAGTCCAAGATACAAGGAGTCCAGGGCTCCTGTGAGAGCCCTGTGGACTGTGTCCAGACCCTCTCTAGGCCTGAGTCCTGTTTTGTATGCTCAATTCTGCCTGAGTAGAAACCTCCGCCAAAGCAGGCAGGCTAGCTTTGGTAGCTTTCTTCTATCTTTTATCATGCCTTTCCACACCTGTGTGTTCCCACTCAGCAGCCACCTGCTCTGCCTTCCTGTTTTAGTGATGAGTTAGAATCCTAGAATCCTTGGTGCCCTTTACAGTCTGTCTGTCTTTTTTTTTTTTTTCCGAGACAGGGTTTCTCTGTGTAGCTTTGTGCCTTTCCTAGAACTCACTTTGTAGACCAGGCTGGCTCAAACTCACAGAGATCCACCTGCCTCTGCCTCCTGTGTGCTGGGATTAAAGGTGTGCACCACCACCGCCCGGCTCTTTACAGTCTTTCTTAAGCCCCAAAAGGCTTAGTTCTTCTTGGTTTTCTATAGTATGTTTTACTTCAAATGTGTTTTCTGTCTGTGGATGAATAGACGCAGGTTTGTTTTCACTAACTGGCAGGAAGACATGCTCTCAGGATGGGGTCATGGGTAGCGTCGTCTCCACCAGAAGAGGGGCTGCCGTTTTGTTGTCTTTCCTGTGCACACAGTGCCGGAGTCACCTACGAGGGCCAGCGATTGCTCTAAGGTGTCATTACAACCTGCACTCCTCTGTGACCATGTGACCCTCTGGGACTTCTGGGACACTCCTCCTTGGCAGATGCACAGACAACTTTCATGTGGTTGCATAGCATAGGGTGTACAGATGACAGACTAAGAATCGCATGGGAACCGGGAAGGAACCCAAGAGAGTTTCTACCGCGGGAGATGATTGAAGCGTGCTTGTTCTTGTTGGCTCTTTATAGTTTTCATTTGCTGTTGTTTTGAGATAGGATCTTACTATAAAGCCAAGGTTTGCCTCAAACTCCGATTCTCCTGCCTTGTCGTCCCCAGTGCTGGTATTACAGCCTGACTTTTTTGTTGTCTCCCCAGAGGTTCTGGGAGAAGCTAGCAGGACAGTTGTTGGGTTGAATTTCTGTGACCTTTTGCCTATGGTGTGCCAGATTGCTGTCTGGGCCCCTGGACCACAGGGTCCTTAATCTGTGTAAGCAGCCTAAGAATTGAATGCGGGGTCCTCCCCTTCATTTGTCTGCATTCACCAGCATGGATGCGGAGGAGGTGCTCTTTGTCGTAGTATGGGCAGACTTCCAAGTCTTAGCTTGGAAGCTGAGCAGTATAATTCCCCTCTGATGGGTTCAGCCGGGGCAGTTCTGAACAGCTCTTCAAGTTGCACCAGGACCTTGTAGCAAAGAATTAAAAAATGAGGTGAAAGAGGCCCAGCATAGACAGGTATTCCTGCCACCCAGATAGAAGAGAGGTCACACCTCTACCCTGGGCAGGGCCTCTGGAGGGACTGCAGAAGGGTTGTCCTTACCTCTGGAGGTGGGAAAAGGATCCCTTTGGCTTGTGAGGAGTGGAAGAATGGGAGAGTAAGCTAGAGTCAGATACTTCATTCCCGTGGCTCCTTGGCACATTCTGGAATGCATTGCTGCCCTTCCTTTGTTTGAGAGGACTCCTGCCTCCTCCGGTTAAGTCATGGGTGCATGCAAGGCAACATGGTAGGGCATGAGAAAACTACCTGCTCACATCCCCCCTTTTCTGAACTCCCAGGCTCTCTCTCTGTGAGATGCGGTTGCTGGCGTGCCAATCATGGAGCAGCTGAGAAGGTGGCATTTGCACTAAGACAGCTCCATGAGGGAAACTGTAGTGCTGGGCAGTGCTGGGCCCCTTCCATCCAGTGCAGTGTAGTCATGTTTCAATGCATAGCAGTCCTCAGCATGTCTCCTTCAGCAAGCTTTCTGGTTGCAGGTTGCAGATCTGGACTGCAGAGTCACACCAGTGTAAAGTTATAGAGCTGTCTTTTGAGGTATTACTTAGCTTTAAGCAGAAACTGACTCTTGTTTTGTTTTGTTTGTTTCTAGTTTTTGACGTGTTTCTGTTTTGGTCTGACTAGGAGGAGCCTGATCTGGTTAGTGCAATTTATGGCCGAGGGATAGCCTATGGAAAGAAGGGATTACATGTGAGTATGTATAGTTACGCTTGCCGCCATGCCCACGTGGCTTGATGCACCCAAGCCTTTGTCCAAACTGCTTCTTGTTCACTCAGCTCTGCCAGGACACAGACGAGAAAGAAGGGTGGATGATCACCCCAGGTGCCATGGCTAGAAGGTGGGCAGCCAGGCTCCCGTGGGTCTCCCAAGTCAGTGATGAGCTGGCCACAGGAAAAGCCAGAGATCTAACCGTATTCCCAGACCATTCCCCGAGAATGCAGAGACAAGGCTAGATTGTCACAGTGGGACGTACAGCCTGAGATCCAGTCACAGTCGTGACAAGTTGGGTGAAAGAACACAGGTTTTTTGTTGTTGTTTGTTTGTTTTTTAGCATGTGGCATTTATTTTTATTTGCTACATTTTTATGCTTTTTGCAGATAGGAAAAGGTCTTTGCAGCAATAATCAAGTCATCCCCTTTATTTCCCTGAGGAAGGCGGTGGAGGTGACAGTGAACCCTGTTCATTAAAAAGCCACCATGCTGTAAAAGTGCTTTCCCAAGATTATGTAGTAAATCACAGAGTGCCCTTATGGTCAGCATGCTTGGAGTGTTGTACACAAACCCTTTGTATGATTCTCAACTAAAGACATTCATGTGAAATAGTGCTTGGTGGGAAAATTATCATTTTTATAACTTTTACATTAAAAAGTCACAGTCTTTAACATTTTATTAAATATTTTAATTAGAATTTATTGAAGTTTAAAACATTCTACCTGCTGATACTGGCTTGGAGAAAATTGATGCGACAGTTATAATTGTACCCTTCTGAAACAGAGGACTGGGACAAACTCAGCCCTGGGAACCATGGAACTGAGGGTACAAAACCATTTCAGTCATATGTCAGCAGGGACTAGGTTCAAGCTGTCACATAGCCTTCAGATAAGTGCTGCTTCCTGTCCCCATCTGTCTAAATTTTGCAGCTTAACATGTAACTTGTTTTTGTCTTTAGTGGAAACTTAAATGTGCATTTTTAAGCATAAACTCAGCCTGTACATGCTCAAGAGAATTTAGCTAGACTAGTCATGAAGTAGGTTCTGAGTTCATGGTTTTGATCGACACTTGGCATTTTCCTGTTCCTCACTCACTGGTGGGTGTCATTCCCCAGGCTGGCATCCATGTGTTCATCCTGGGGGATTAGATAGGTTACGTTTAGATGATATCTGCCATCTGTGAACTTGTGGTAAGCATTCAGGATTAGTGTGCCACTTCCTCAAGGGCGGGAGACTTGGGTGAGTTGAGCAGCTGACCTGACACCTCTCCCTGACCGAACCTGGCAGAGCCTTGGTGGAGAACTGAAGTTGGTGTTCATCTCTAAGGAGCGGTTTCTCTGGGGACTGCATTGTTAGTGTCTCAGAAGATCTTGCCACTGTCCCAAGCAGCAGTGTGTCTCATACTAAGCTAATACCTTTTCAAGGACATTAAGAACGCTGAGCTTGCTCTGTTTGAACTGAGCCGAGTAATTGCCTTGGAACCTGACCGTCCAGAGGTATTTGAGCAGCGGGCTGAAGTGAGTGCGGTTTTCTTTTTCCCTCTGTTCCTGAATTAGCTGAAATTCAGAGCCTTTTCCCATGATTATCATTATAACTGTTAATGCTCCTTTATGCCGAATTGTGTTCCTACCTAGTTCCTAAGGCCTGAAAGTACGGTGGCAATTACTGGACAACCATGGAATGAGTGATGCATTTAAAGTACCATGCGAGTGCTATTTAGAGTGAAAACATGTGGTTATATTGTCTGCTTCTGCAGCAGACACTCATTAAAGAGATATCATTCACCATATCGCAGATGTAAATGACACAATTTAACAAAACTGACTCTAACAGCATTTGGACAACCTGAAATATGTAGCCCTTGGAAGCAGTTATTCCACTGGTATGGAAGGAGGAGGGAGAACGAGTGAATGAATGAACAATGAATGAATGAATTGCTTGAGTGTATGTACCCATGTGCTCATGTACAGTTCTTGTGAGATGGACCTGCCTCCATAGATGCCCAGAGCAGGTAGGTTTGCTGTAGAGCTCCAGGCAGAGACAGAGGCACGGGAGGGGGTGTCTGTAGCATCTGTGGAGTGGACATCCGTAGGTGGCCTGCACAGAAGCTGGCGGGGGGTGCTAGGCGCTTGGCAGGTGAGGCCTGAGAAGGGCAGGAGGAGGGTGCTTTGCAGAGAGAGGAGAGTGCCAAGACTCCGTTTGTGGCTTTAAATCCCCGCGTTCTTGCAGTAGTGCTGGCTGTTGGGGTCATGTATGCTACTGTGTGCATACAGTTAGCTCTTGGATAGGAACACCAAGTGCTCAGTCACTCCAGGACTGCATCTGGAGGTCCTGTCCTCAAGTTGTAGTGTCGTATAGTTCACTTTCTTTTAGTGTTTTTGTGTTGTATTGGGGACTTGGTTTTCATCTAATTTTTCTCAGTGATGTAGTTCCTTACCTGTTCATTTTGGGTCTCACTGTTGGGCTTGGTGGCTGGAGTCCCTGTCCCCAGAGCAGAGGCTCTTGTGTAGTGGTTGGGCTGCCTACTCTGTGTCCCACCAACTCTGGGTGGGCTGGTATTTCCCTCAGGACTCTGGGGCTGCATGAAATGATTCTAATAAACTAGGAATTCAGTTAAGACTTGCAGGTTTTTAAATTTTGCACATCTGAGAAAAAACTAATTGCTTATCTAAAATGATATTGGTGATTAGAACAATAATTTTTCCATTATCTAAAATATACCTAGCAATATTTATGACACTGCCAGCAGTCACTACATCATGATTTTCACAGCCAAATTGCAGCCTGCCTTTGTCTGCCTTAGAACTAATTTGTGAAATGCTTTGCTTTTATGTTTACTGAAATAATCTGTATTTGATGAAAATATTTTAACCCATTATTGTGGATATTAGCAGTTGTACCAAGATGTGATAGTTTTTACCTAGGTGTTAATAAAGCAGAGAAGGGCATTTTTCCTTCCAAATGGTAGCCCCACCCCACCCTGTGATGAGTTCCAGGCCATGTCCATCTTTTTCCATTTTGGAAGCCATTGCTAATGTTTGGGATGGGCCCACACAAGTGCTCTCCCAGGCTATGCTGACCTCCTGCAGAGCAAGTGACCAGTTGTAACACAGGGTGAACATGACCTTTCTTAGAACACCCTGGTTAGAAATTGCTGGAATGGTGATTGCTTGTGACCAAGTGCATGGGGTGGATTGCATGAACACAGGGACCCATGGGGCTTTCTTATGTCGTGTTGACTTCCTTTTGGGTGCTGGGCTGTCATCTGTGCTGTCATGCTGCCTGGACCGCAGTGACTGCTGGCTCTTTCACTGGGGCTTTTCAAGTAGACAGACAGTTTCCCCTGTGATGCTGACTGTGGTTGATGAGCTAGGGCCTGACAGGGTACCTGGGATCCTAGAAATCCTCCTTCATCTTTTGCTCCCACAGGGAGTAGAGCTAGAGACCAGGAAGGACTTAACTGCCAGGACTTGTCTGTCTCTCCCAGTGGTTGAATGTGCATGTGCCAATTTTTTACTTAAAAAGTGAACATAGCATAAGAAAAAAGGGGTCTTATTTCAAGAAGAGCCACATCTGGTATGCCCAGAGTGGAATCAGTAGCAAGGCAGCTGCTTGAGTCGTATCCGGTTCCTCTCACTAAACTGAGACTAGTGGCCCTTCTGTGCATCCACCTGCACGTGCATGAGGCCGTGGGTCGCAGCCTGCCACAGGGAGCTTTGTGAGTGGTGTGTGGTTCAGTGGAATTGAACAATTAAAACACTGACAGTATAGGAGGGCTGGTTGTAGGAACTTTTCCTGATTGCATGTTTTGGATTTCTAGATTCTGTCCCCTCTGGGACGAATTACTGAAGCCGTAAATGATCTCACTAAAGCTATTCAGCTTCAGCCCTCTGCACGGCTGTACCGACACCGGGGGACCTTGTACTTCATATCTGAGGTGATTGCCCCGTAAAGATTGGTCCACACCTCACTTCTCCCACCATTTCAGAAGCCACTCTTTGCTAGATTGGGTTCAGTTTAATGTCAGTGCTACAGGGCAGCTGTGAGAGCATTGTCTTTGGCAGAAATTAAATGCAATAAAGAATAATAAGGGCCAGTCGTGTCTCCATGTTTGGGCCTGCTTCAGCAGTATCAAATTCTAGGCTGGTATGAAAAGGTTGCAATTTGGTTCATAGCTTCTGCTTCGAGGTACAACTTGAATTTGTCTGCTTCTCAGTCTGAGAGCTGTGCTCTGAACCTGTAAGACTTCCAGACCATTCTGTTTAGGGGGACTAAATCTAGCAAGAGTCTGTTTCTGTCACAGTGGCCCCTCGACCACAGGTGTCTGTGGGCTTGCAGTACTTTAAACAGTGCATGTACAGACCAGAGCTTCAGCTAACACACAGTGAGGACGCACCGCAGCCCGGGCATTTCACAAGCGTCCAGTGTGAGGAAAGATGGTCTCGCTGGCATTGGAAATGATGCTTTTCCTGTGGTCGAGACAAAGGGCCTGCAATCAAGCCCCTGTGGACACCAGTTAGCCGTTAGCGGGCGAGGACTGCTAGTTCGTCGGCACTGCTTCGCCGTGGCCTTTCCTCCAAGGCCAAGAAGGGCCCGGGACCCGATGGGGTTTTCCCTCTGCCCTGTCTAATTTCTAACAAACCCAATCTTATCTTTCCTCCTCCTTTCCATAGGACTACGCGACAGCCCACGAGGACTTTCAGCAGTCCTTGGAGCTGAACAGAAACCAGCCCACAGCCATGCTGTACAAAGGCCTAACTTTCTTTCACAGAGGACTTCTGAAGGTGAAGCTGCGCTGCCCGCGCCTGCGCTGCTGTGCCTGCTTCGCTGGAGGGGTGGGGGGGTGGGGGGGGACTTAGTGGGACTGACCTGATGCACCTCGGAACGTCACAGGTGTCTTAGCTCTGTGTGCGCGCATGTGTGTGCGTGCGCGTGCGTGCGTGCGTGCGTGCGTGCGTGAGTGCATGCACACTTCACTTGCTGGCTGCTAGAAGCAGGTCTTCCTCTGGAGCAGTGCTGAGCACTTTGGCTTCAGCTCATGGGCCTAGGGGAGCTGTGTGTGTTGTGGCTTTGGGGAAAATCATAGTGGGTCCCAAGTCTGTGATGTAGAGGTTGGTTCTGACGGTTATGACCCGGGTGAGAAGGACCGGAGACTGATAGACATTTGTAGGTCCCGTTGGGGCTGAGGAGACTTGGCCCAGCTGCTGGGTCCACAGGAGGGGGAGGAGGGGGAGGCTAGGGATCTGGCCAGTGTGACTAGTATGACCATGGACACGGATCCCGAGGCAGTAGGAGGAGTAAGCCACTGTCAACAATCAGACCACTTGACCTGAGGGGAAGTATTTGTGTGGGTTGCTTTCGGCCGAGCACTCCATTGCATGTCCTTGCATCTCTGTGGGGATCCTGCTGTGCAGCAGGCTGTACCAGTAACCAGGGATCACAAATTTGCCGCCTCCCGTACCTGGGTTATAATGCCACACAAGGCCTCAAAGTATTGGTGGTCCCCTATGACAGGATAATCCAAGCCACTAGATGAGAGATGGGCTGGCCTGAGAGCTACGCACAGCCAGTCGCCTTGTTGGAGAGTGCACTGTGGGATGCAACAGTCCTGTGTAGAGATGGCGGTCTTGAGTCCAGTGTTGAAGCCTGTGAAAAGCTTTGGCAGCACAGGATGGGGAGTGTCTTCAGCAAGCGAACATGCATCTCACCTCACCACATAGTTCTGCCGTGGGGCAGGCAGCCCTGTGCGTCCATTAGCTGCTTGTCCTTAGATCTGCCGTCCACGGCCCTGAAATACTCAGGGGGAAAGAGTACAGATTTTGTCCTTGTCGCTCTTGTCTGAATAGCATGACGTAGTGACAATACCTATAGCAGCCACCTTATATTAGCTGTCACAGGCCATTCAGGGGACCCCGAAAGAGCTCAGAGGATGGATGCAGACCCCATGCAGACACTGCACTGTCTTGTCTGAGAACCAGAAACCGTGTGCATTTTAGTGTCTGCAGAGATCCCAGAGCCATCCCTGTCATTCCCGGGAGGGCTGCAGATGTGGTTGGGGATGGCAGATTTGTCTGGGCAGAGGCCGCAAATAACGTTCTCAGTGTTGCGGATGGCACCTGTGTTCAGAAGTAACAGGGACAGCGGATGTCAAGGGCAGAGCACATGGCCTTGGAGGTCAGGCTGTGCTCTTGCTTTGAGCCCTGCTAACCACCTGCTGGACATGCAGCTGAGCTCTTTCAGCTCCTTGTACATCCATAAAATAGGCACAACCTTCTGTCTCCTTTCAAAGCACCCAACAGAGATCGGTGGCATCCCATATGAGAAAAGTATAACTACAGTTTATTTATCAGGAAAAGTTTAATCTGTTGTATAGATGCTTTTTAAAAACTCCCACCCCACTAAAAACCAAAAGACGAAACAGATTTGCTAGTTCTTTGTATGTTCCTCACATCCCATGTGTAAGTGCCCAGAGTGTTCAAAAGAAAGACTTCTCCTTAGGTGTGGAACTGCCCACAAGGATATAGGCCATAGTGGGCTCTGTCCACCCACTCTCCGAGTCCCTTTCCTTCTTCATCTTTTCTCACAGCCTCTGTATGTGAAAAGGTTCAGGCCACCATGCTGCACTCAGAGGCAATCTCGGGGAGGAGAAAGAGACACATGGAAAATACCATCTAGTACATATTATGAATATTTTGTAAAGGAACGCGTGTAGCCGCCAATGCACGCTGTTTGTTAGACAGAGCTGGCCATCGGTGCAGGGACAGTCTCCTGAAACAGGCTGGAAGAGGAGACTTGATTGGTTCTCTAGATCCCCAAGAACCTGGACAGTGCTCTCATTCTCTGAGCATTCGAAGTCCCTCAGTGTGCGGGTCTTCCCAAGTCACTGGGTCCTCCCTCTCCCCCTGTGCCGAGTCGCGTGCATGGACATTAGGAGGAGACGTGGAGGGCCGCTTTGTGGTGGTTTATCTGTGCTGTCTAAGCAGGTCAGAGGGGTGCACTTAGTCCCTCAAGTCCCACCAGCATCCTCGTGAGGAGCAGACAGCTGTCTGTGTGATTCTGGAGCTAAAGAATGACCCCGACCCTCCACAGACACGAAGCAGTGGCCTTGAACTGACAGACCTCAGAGTGGGTCTGTTCAGGCCGGTGGCATTTAGAAAGTAAGGAGGTGACTTGACTTTGTAAGGACCTTTCATGGAAGGACACCAAACATTCTGAAATGTTTTCCTTGTGTCATTTCTTACCGAAAGGGCTTGACTGTGTAGCTCAAGCCCGTCTTTACCTCGTAACCCCGCTGTCTCAGCTTCCGGTAGGCTGATTTCATGTGACCCCCACCATACCTGGCCAGGCACATACACAGCTGTCCAGCGTGGTGGAGAGGGCCCTTGCAACCCGACAGCAAGAGCTTGCCCTCCACTTAGTCCACGTCACAAGGACATGTTAAGCTCTTCACCCTGAGCTGCCTGATGGGAGCAGCCAAGTGGTGACCGCCCAGTGACCAGGGCGGATGGTGGTGATGGAGTGAAGATGGCCGCATCTGCCGAGCCCACGGCTCTGAAGCCGTCCACACGTAGAGGTTGCCTCGTGCGAGCTAGTCTCTTGTTCCCGATGCTGTAAAATCTTGATTCTGCTGTGTCCCTCTTTGGCAGCTGAGGTAGAGAGCTGAGCAGTGTGCTTAGACAGGAACCCTGAAACCAAAGACTCTTAAAAGCTGAAGAGAATCAGACTTTGAAGAACTGTGGCGTCCACGCATGCTGTAAGTGGAGCGGGCAGCAGCTGCCCGCTGGGCATCTCCCTGGATGTCCACCGACACTGCAGACTTAACTCGCCCCAGCCCCTCCCTCTCCCTGCCGTCCTCCTGCCTCCGTGTGGTGGCCACTGTACTTGCCCTCCCCCAGACTCTCCAGCCTAGAACGCCCTGCCTCATCTCCCTCACCTCAGCCACCGGATTCCGTCTCTGTTTGCCTTCAGAAATGTCCCTGGATCCGACCCTTCTTTCTTTCCTTGGGGACACTCACCTTGAGCTTTCATTATCTCTTGCCCAGAGGCCCACCGACCCAACCCGGGGCCTGCTCCTCTGCTCTCCCCCACACTGCTGCTCTGCACGGTCAGTCCTTCCCCGAGGCCTGGGTGCCCGGGCAGGTACTGGCCAGGTCAGGTACCGGCCAGGTCCCATCCCTGTCTCTGCACTCACACCTGCGGGTGGGCGCTGTTGTGGTTTCCTCCCTCTCCTGGCTCAGTTATAGCACTGCTCTCTCCTCCCACCACTGTTCAGTCCCGAGAGCGCTGGGCTGTCACTGCCTTCTCTGCGTTCCCAGAGCCTCACTCCTGTCTCTGTTGTAGCTTGTAACGTTTGTGCTAATAACTCCCGTTACACAACTGGCTTTCTATTCTAACTAGACTGAGTGTTCTTAGAGGACGGAGATAATGACTTGCTCGTCTTGTACCCACCCCTCAATTCCTCACACTGGCTCTGGTACATAATAGGCACTCAATATGTGTTTGTTAAATCAAAGTATCGTAAAAGCCCTAAAAGGTTAAGACTGGGCCACTTCGGGAGCCACATTCAGAGTTGAAGGAGCCCTTCACCAGCCGTTCCTCTTCCCTGCCGTGGCTCCTCCACCCAGGCTGCCCCGCCCCCGTCGACACAGAATCTGGATGCAGAGGCCGATGGCTTTCTGAAGTCTTGCAGTTGTACGGTTTGCAAAGCGGCCTTACGCCTGCAAGTTGCTGACTATTGAGTGCCTACCATGTGCAAGGCATGTGACACCAGTAGCTCTCGCCTACCAACATCTAACTGAACAGGTGTGATGTTGTCTAAAGTCCAGTCTTCTTCTTCAAGTTGCAGTGGTTACTTTAGTGCCATTCTGTCCTGTCCTTGGGAACGTGAGAAGTGACTGTATTTTTTTTTTTTCAATTACAGCAACCGTAATAGCATGTCAAAGTGCAAGGGTAGTGGGTACACATGTGTAGGTTGTCTAGCCTTGACCAGAATGGTGCCCTCTAGTGGCAGTTCTCACATTAGGATTTGGGTTGTGAGCAAGTGTGCTCTGGATTCCTCCTGGTGGCCACAGCACTCCGACCTCAGCCCCATGCCAGCTGCTGGGCTGCACAGCCGTGCCCACTGCCCCAGTCCTCAGCCAGCTGCTGGGCTGCACAGCCGTGCCCAGTGCCCCAGTCCTCAGCCAGCTGCTGGGCTGCACAGCTGTGCCCAGTGCCCAGTCCTCAGCCAGCTGCTGGGCTGCACAGCCGTGCCCACTGCCCAGTCCTCAGCCAGCTGCTGGGCTGCACAGCTGTGCCCAGTGCCCCAGTCTTCAGCCAGCTGCTGGGCTGCACAGCCTTGCCCAGTGCCCCAGTCTTCAGCCAGCTGCTGGGCTGCACAGCCATGCCCAGTTCCCCAGTCCTCAGCCAGCTGCTGGGCTGCACAGCCATGCCCAGTGCCCTAGCCTTGTTCTGTTTTCTTTCACTGTTTCCCTGTAGAATCAAGGAATCCCAACTGCCAACACAAGAGTCTTTTTGGCTTTTTTTATGTGCAATTTATACCTATCTATCTTGTTGATTGAGTTGAAATGCAGCAAGCTGTCATTTTGAATATTCTCACACAGCTGTTGAGTTTCCTTGGTCCATTGGGCTGTTATGGATTGAAGAAATGATGTTCTTATGAAGGTGAAATCATTAGCACTCCAGCGCTACTGAGTTAGACAAGACAACAGCTCTGTCACAGTGGGAAGCCTGAGGCTGTTTTTATAGAAATGCATTTTTTTAAATTTTATTTATTTATTTATTTATTTTTATTTATTTAGTTTTTACTGTTAGAATCACAGCCTCCCAACAGTTTATTGCAAAAACCAGCTTGCCTCATTTTTTGGTCCTATTTAAGATAATTCTGCCAGAGACAGGTGTGGCCTATGTGTAAACCTTTAGTGATGCACGTGGAATTAATGCAAGCGGGCTCATTTTCTGCATACCTTCCACAGGAAGCCATCGAGGCCTTCAAAGAAGCTCTGAAACAGAAAGTTGACTTTATCGATGCATATAAAAGTCTAGGACAGGCCTACAGGTGAGTGACAATGGGCTGGAAGGAGACTAAACCAGGAAAGACACATGCATCTCTCAGAAAAGATGTCCGCTTTGAAGGCATTGCTTTACCTGCTGGCATCTCCTCTGGGATGTGAGGGAGCCCTGTGTCGGGACTTCTGTATGTTACCATATAGAAGTCGTCATGTCAGCTTACACAGCTCTCTGAGGGTCATAGTGGTGTGAGGGCATAAGTCCCTGTAGATGAATGTTGTGCCTGGCATTGGACGGTGCTGGGTGATAAGACACCATCGCCACTTGCCAGGCTATGTGGTGGTGAATTCCTGATCGTGGGAAAGTCAGTCCAGTATAGGAAGCTGTGACCAGGCCCTCACCTCTTGGCTCTGTGCATTGCTTCACTATTAGAGTATTCAACTTTAAAAAGCAACTTCACTTCAATCAGAAAGGCAGGTGACATGGTTGATGTGGGAATGCATGGGCTAGGAGCCCCTGAAACTTGAACTGTGTAGGTGTGCCACTGATGGCTGTCTGGGCTTCCAGTGTCTAGCCTGTAAAGGAGCCATTGTGTCTACAGGGGAAAGGCTGTTAGAGAAATCTCACCCTCATACGGAGGGTGCATTTGGTTTTGGAAATCAGTAACTTAATTTTTCCTAGAGAAGTCCGAAACTGTGAGCATCCTTTAAAACTGTATGTTAGATTCCGGCAATGTTAGATTCCTAGGTGGTGTGAAGACTGTGCAACTGTGTGTGAGGTGTTCAGGGAGCAGGAGACACACACCTCCCTTGAGACCTCCCAGAACTGAACTCCAGGGCTGGCGTCACTGACCTGCTGCCCATTGCTCATCACAGTTGTTCAATCCTTAGAGAACTTGGCAATTTTGAAGCAGCCACTGAGAGCTTCCAGAAAGCCCTGCTGCTCAACCAGAACCATGTGCAGACCCTGCAGCTCCGAGGGACGATGCTCTACCACCATGGCAGCCTACAGGAGGCCCTGAAGAACTTCAAGGTAAGCCTCTCCAGCAGGCCGAGCTACAGCTGGAGTTCTTGCTGCTGCTTCAGAGAGCTCAGTGGAACTCTGTGAAGGAACCACAAATACCTGCACAAGCCACACACACTAAAAAGAGGAATCTGGACATGGTGTACTCCTTTAATCCCCGCACTTGGGAGGCAGAGGCAGGCAGCTCTTAGTGAGTTCAAGGCCAGCCTGGTCTACATAGCAAGTTCTAGGCCAGCCTGGTGGCCTGGATAGTGAGACCCTGTCCGGGGGGTTGGGGGTGGAGGTGGGAAGGGGACGGGGAGAGAGGGAGGGACCTTTGCTTTGGCCTCTAGACTAACTTAGAAACCTGTATGTAGTTTGACTCAACCTGGAAGGAGAGCTTTGGGGCTGAAGGAAAAGCTGTCCTAACCCCGGGGACACTAATGCAGCCTTTTGTCCTAAACTGTAGCGTTGCCTGCAACTAGAGCCGTACAATGAAGTGTGCCAGTACATGAAAGGACTCAGCCACGTGGCAATGGGCCAGTTTTATGAAGGAATTAAAGCACAGACAAAAGTTATGCTGAACGATCCTCTCCCCGGCCAGAAGGCCAGCCCAGAGTACTTGAGGGTGAAGTATCTCCGAGGTAAGCAGAAGATGGTGGGGGTTTCCACTTCCATGCCCAGCTGTGGGCACCCTGCTGCCTCTGTGAGATGGTGGAGCTGAAGCTGGGCATTCTGTCCCTAGCGTCTCTTGATGCTGGAGGTTGCAGGGCTAGGGGCCTCAATATCTTCCGAGACAGGCCCGATGTTCTTTCTACCTTACCTACAGGTCTTCCAAAACTCCACGGAAGCTTGACCTGAGTAAAAGCACGTTTGTAGTTGGATGTGAGGTTCTTTGTGGGTAGTTTGTCGGGTGCCTCCTCATCTCACTGAAGGACAGGAAAGTACCCTGCGTGGGGTTTTCATTGATGCGAGTTACCTGGCATCTCTGATCCTGCATTCCATTCTATCACAGCTTCTGATATCAGCAAGACACAGTTTGGTGAGAAAAGGAGCAGTTCTTGAACTAGTCACAGACTTGCTTTTTCTCCATATACATCTTTCAGTATACACATACATGTATGTACCTTCCAAAGCAACCCCACATCTTCCCATGTAACACACACTCCTTCATATGTACATAAACATAAATCTTCCTATGTACACACACATCTTCCTTTGAATACACATACACACACGTCTTTTATCTATACATGCATCTTTCTGTGTATACACACATCTGTATACACACACACACACACACACACATATTCCTATGTATACACATTAACATACCTTAGTAGACACACACACCTTCCTATGTACACACACCTTTTATGTACTGTTGATGTATCCAACAGTCTTATTAAATAA